GAAGACTGCTGGTAAACGGAATACTAGCAATGGTAAATTAAATACTGCTGGCAGAAGACTAGATGCAGCTTGAAGACTAGCTTTCATTAGCAGTATCTAGTCCTCTGCCTGAAATATAAAAAGTACGGCCAGTAGTGTTAATTAAATGAACAATATACTTAAGTCGTAACCATTTTGAACTAATTTGAAGAAATTTTTTTCTTCCAACATATCCTCTTCCAATTTGCCAGAGTTTTTTATTTCTTTGAACAAACCATATTGATTCTGCAACGTTTTTTTCTTTTTATATATGCGGCGGATATATGTTTTTCATAGATGGATCTAACAGCACAGTGTATTTTCCCTTCTGCGGATTTTTTCTATGATAAGCCAAATGACAGAGCTGATGATATCTGTTATGTTTGTAAGGCAACTCTTAAGCAGGTATATCCAAGATATTGTCCAGTCTCAGTTGGAGATTAGTTTTAAGTTTAAGATTTGAAAGGTTGGTTCGAAGTGAAACGGTCAAGTGCTTATTCCAACAATTGATTGGAATATGATCTGATCTTCTACCGTTGTCCTTTTAACTGTATAAGTAACTCTTTAGTTTTTTAAACTTATCTTCTGTTCTTCACTCCTCCAAGATTTCGAGAATCAATGGAAAGTGGTCTGAAAATAAATCATATTTTATTTCAATATTCAGTCAGCATCTACACAATCATTTTTTGAGGGGAGCTTTAACACTTCGCCTTCGAAATAACGCAAATTTGGATATTTCACAAATTCTGCAAAAAAGAGTCAGTTATCTTTCAATCTGAATTACTTTCCTTTACCTTTGATCTTAACGGAAGTGGGTAATAACTTTCCCAATTTCTTTCGTAATTAAAGTATATCTAGTAATGAATACTTGACCAATTATATTTTTATATTGTTTGTTTTAAATTAACACAAACAGCTTCACTATCTATCTAAAACAGCTCATATACTTTAAGATAAGATTTACGAAGCTTTGGATAGAAAACGTCAGCTTGTTTTTCCAGTTTTCATGGCCGATTTCTCAACGAACCGTACTACAGACGTTATCAACTCAACGGATGACTGCCCTAGACAAGCAATAAAACGACCCTTTTTTATTGGAGTCCGATGCAGCAGTTTTCCAGTGTTTATAAATGAGCCAACTGATGCTATCTTCGCGTAGAATATTTGCCGATTCATAAAGTATTCCACCATTACCGCTTTAGTAGTAGGTTATTTACGATAACAATCAATGAATTATTCACCCACAGTAATTATTTTAATACAGTTTTATTTCCCTTATCTGCATATATAAAATATTTAATGCGAATTGATACCATTTCGAAATTACATAGAGAAGTTTCTCTTGTAAAAAAGTTGTCGAATATTCCCTCTTGACGCTATACACTTTCCACATTTATATGCAAATGCCTTCGTTAAAATAAAGCAGACCGTAAAACTTGTCATATAATGTACAAAATTTGCAAAAAATAAAATATCATAATTTACATTTTAAGTCGCGTTTAATATTTAAGTTGTTTGAGGAAATGCTTGAACCGATATTTCTTTTTCCAAGATCCGTTGAATTGCTCGCCGGGTACCCTGACCTTTGTAATTACGTCTTTTCTTCTGCTCTTCCTTTTATGGAGCTTCTGCCATAACAACGTTGTCGCCTGGGGGCTTCCACTGCACTCTCAGATCTTAATCCAATCTGCATAAGATTGGAACGTTGACGACATCGTCGACGACGACTCTAAAAAGAAGAAGCTTAACTTGTGGGAATTATTTAAATATCGTTAATTCACCAAGAGAATTTTCAACATAGTCTTGTCTCATAATTCCTAGCTACGTCTTCCTATCATTATAATATTTTTAGAAACGATTAGTTAAAAAATGAAAATAGTAATTTTTTTATTGCGAAGATATTTATATACTATAAACGAATATTTTTCCGTTTTTATTGATACAGAAATACATTTGCAATAAATATTGATTAAACATAAATATTTAATACTAACGATTTATTTACGGTCCGTAGACATGATAAATGAATTAAGAGAACGCTTTGATCCGTCCAAGTGATGCATAATTAATTGAGCTTCGACAGTGTGGAAAGCATGTGTCGTGTGCTTGCAAGTTGCTTTACCCAGAAATTTCATTAAACTGAAAACTGATGCGGGAGCTTGGACGAGATCGTTTGATAATTTCCGAGACCATAAATAAATTGTTACTTCAAAACAGCTTTTACAAGATAACCGTGAACAGTCGTTTCCTTCGTTCTCTCTCTTAACGTTGCCTACGGCCTCCCAGGGGTTATTTTCTAATTTCCAAAAGAAAAGATATAATATTAAAAATGAATCGATATTCGCAAACTTTGGAACTTTGGTATGTCTTGTAATTAATTATTGTGTAGATTTCGAAAAGTGAGATGTTGCGTTAGCACGTATTTTATCGTTTAAAAATATATTCGACGATCCAATTAAGCAGATTTATCTCGAGAACGTAATGGTAATTAAGTTTTTAGTGCCCCCAGGAGAAATTTTTAAACCGAGTTATATTTCTAAAAGCTTTCCACAATGAAAATTATACAAGAATTAAAGAAGTACTCAATTTTAAATTGGTTTTATTATCAGAAAATTACCAAACCACGCCATCCGGGTGTATATTGATGTTCTTTGAAAGTTGAAACTTATAGAAAAGAGTAATGTTAATCGATCAATTACTATTAGTATTTCCAGAAAGCCGTGGAAAAAACTTCCATCTACGACTGGGACGTTTAATGAATCACAGAAGGGAGCGTCAATGTTAACGACAACAACCATTTACTTTGATACTGAGATTGCCCTCCGAAGACTACTTTACGCCCTTATTCCCTTAAATTTATTACTTGCAAAATTGCACTTTTACGTTATCGATTGCCGCCGGGAGCAAGGCGAGGAAAGGAGAACATACCTTTGCGGCCACGTCGTTTACTACCTCAAAGAATAAAGGAAATTAAACTTCTCCAGGATTAATTACGGCGCAAGGTCCGTAATTTAACGTTACCCTAAATTAATCTATATTAAAAATTTATTCGTGCCGTAAAATGAAATATACAGTTACATTTTCGCTTCGTTAATTTCACAAATGCTTAATACAAAAAAAATACTAAGATTTAAAAATTAAAAGATACAAGATCATGTCAATAGAATAAATGGGCGAAATAAGCAAAGGAAAAATCTAAGTCAAAGAGACTTCCTGGCAAGCCACCTAAGAGATGGCATGAAAATGGACACAAAATTGTTATCAAAATTTTCTTTGTCTTAATAAAGGAGAAGAAAACTTTGATGTCGATATTGTTAGTTGGCAACTCGTTAAAATAGAGTAAATTAATTTACCTTTATATAGCCATGAAATGCTAGTTATCAATGGAGACCTTCAAATCGCATTCAAAAAAAAACCAGTCCAACTTCCTTCGGGAATCGCTAACCTAGATGGCATTTATTTTCACATTTACAATTTTTTATGTAAAGAAAGAATGATTTTTGAATGATGAAAAGAATGTTACAACCCCACATTTTTTTGAAATACGGGTAATTCACATCATCCGAAATTAATGTTTGTAGCATTGAAGTTGAATAGAATTCCAGCTTCATCAGTCCAAATAGAAACAATGTCCTCAAATTGCTCGTTTGTCTATACACCGCGCAATTGCGGAATAGTTTGGATTTTCAACAGTTCAAAATGTTCTGTGTGTATTGCAGTCATAAATCTGTAGATACAAGTGTTGAATTAAGTTTATTAAATTTATAATTTTGAATTGTTTTAGTAGTAAACAGAACTGGAACATATCTAGAACAAAATCATAGTAATGAAACGAATCAAGTGTAACAAAGACATTTGTTAATGAAAAAATTCCTAACGTATTAATGTATACATAAATTTTGAAGCGTAATCACTATTTCATGCAACAAAGAAAATCTGAAACTTAAAAGACGTCTTATCATACTTTATTGCAACCAAGGGAAGAAACAAAAAGAGCGTCTCAAAGGAAAATTTAATAAGCAGTTTTTCTTTATCTTTTTGTTAATAAAAATGGAACCGACAAAGAAGGGTAAAAATATAGTTTTGTTACTTTTGTATACATCTTATGTAATAATTTAACTTTGTCATTACACAAAATATGTTACGAAACAATTTCTTGGATGTGTTTATTAAAAAAATTGAGAAACATATTAATTTATTCCTTAATTTGTACAAAAATTTCGAACTCATGTTTCAATTTTTTCGACAAACAAAAATTTAAAGAACATCAAACGTAATTTAAACACGGAGTTTCTGAATTCTCGCCCTAATGAAACAAAGGACGTCGCCGCAATTGTTTCCCCTTTTCATTTTACGAACGTTCTTTCCGTTTAGAGACTCAGTAGGAAGGGAAAAACCTCAATTCCCGCTGGATACGATTGATTTAATACGCAAGGATAAGCATACCGTTTTTATTTTTCCATGGTTCCAGTCAAAGGGTGGAATTCTTGTGAACCAGAGTCGCGCCGTCGATCGAATTCTCGCTATAAGGAAAGGAGAATATCGAAACGGTAAAAGAGACGAAGAGTAAAGGATTCCGACTGCGAGGTAATGCGTCAGATAGGCACCGGCTATAAGTAAAACGCGAACGGCGACGTAAACCTCGCAACGTTAAGCACTATTTTCACTTTGATATGTACGGGCGATACTCTTTGTAATATTGGTTTTAAAATGATATGAATATTTTTAAGATTTCTGGATCGTTAGAAAGAAATACGATAGTTGTCTTTGGTGTCGTCCTCGTCGAGTCGATTCAATAGAAGAAAATCCGGATGCTTTAGCTAGGATATTAAATTGCTCAGGTGGAAATCAGTTCTGATTTTGAAATCGGATGGAACGGCGTTGAATACCCGCTCTTTCTCATGCAAAATAGTTCAAATTAAAAACGGCTTTTATTCGTAGTTCATTTTTAGCGATTCAATAAAAAATTTTTTATAACTTACCTATAACATTGACGTCAACGCTCATAGCACTTCTCAATGAATCAAGCTTACGTACTGTATCCCTGTTAGGAGCAACACATCTATATTCTCCAGCCTCTTGATATAAAACATGTTCGAGTCGTAATTCTTGGGAAGCACCGAGTGGTTCTAAACGTCCTGTGCCGGAATCCACGCGTGTCCAACAACCTGTAGTGCCTGTTTAAGCATAAAATTTTATTTTATTTTCTTGTGGGGAAACGTTCGATTTTCCTATAACCGAAACATCCACGCACACGACAAGGGAATAGAAACTTCCCCGATCTCAATAAATTATTTGCGCGATAACGAGCTTGGCCGACGCCACGATAAAAATTGATTCGCCACGACTTCCGAAACTCTAGATATTGCCGATGAATTATTAACAATATCGCTGGCCTTAAGCCTTATAGCTCCTAATATCGCAAAGTTACGTGTTGCTCAGATTTTAAAAGGTCTCAGATCAACTTTTTCTTGCCAATATTTTTTGGATTATTGGTAAAATTCTTACTTTGGTGTTTAATAATGAAATGGCCTACGTAATATAATACAAAAGCATGATAAACGATGCGGTGTAACCGTAAAACGTCCTAATTGTGAAAGTGGTTTCGTTCGTTACACTGACACTTGTCATTTGCTCGTTGATGTGGCGGTTGTAACGTTGAACACGATATCACTGAAGTGCGCGCCTTTGTTTTGTTAATTTTAACGATCCGTGGTCGTATTAACAGACAAAAGGATCCTTTGATGTAATGCATACTGACGAAACAGGGGTTGGTGGTGGTTTAAATATCTTGCATGCATGCAAATTTTAAAAAGTCTTTACTTAATTCATGCCGATACACAAAATAATAAGCATAATAATTAATAATACTACTCAAAAACAAAGCAGTACCTAATAAATGGAACGTATCATTTCGACACAAAATAGGAATCCCATAAATTAATTAATGTATGAGTTTAATACACTGTCGAACAAGTTAATTTGGATTTACGGCGCGCTTGTACAAAAGATATTTAAATTAACGTTTCGAACAGATAAAACAGTAATAAAAATGAAATTAATCGGATGTGCAATTAATTGGAACGAAAGTGATGAACAATAATAGAGTGGGTTTTACCAAAGTGTCATTTATGAGGTAAAGTTATCAGAATGCTGCCCATTTATGTGAAAAGCGGTGCATAAAGCATCATCATAATTAACGACAATCAATTTTGTGGTGCGCAATAAATGCAGCCGAACAAACGAATTACTAAAATTCACAACATTGTAATACAATTTCATGCAATATTACCGGATTATAGTTGATGAGGCCATAGAAAATTAAAAAGGCTAATAATACAGTTTAGTACATGCATTCGTATTGAGGTGTAAGCCATTTTGATGTAAATAAACGCTGCTGCGACCTTTTTGGTTTTATATATCCTCGTTCTCGTTTTACAATTGCAAATTAAATTTTAATTGGCGAAAACGCGGTTTCAAATTAGCATTAAATTGGATTTAAACCATGGATAGATAAAATATTTGGCCATGTATGTGAACCTATTTCAATTTATTATTACAAATTTAATTTACACACTTTTTACTTTTGCGCTTATACGAGGTTTTTATAAAGAGAAGATTTTGTATTCGGGTGCTTCACGGTATAATTAATATTTGTAATTAAAACTAACCTAAAGCTGGCCATTCATGGACGATCCAAATGGAGTGACGTGGCGCGCAATCACTCTGGCATTTTTTAATTTTCGCAATATGGATGAAATTTTTCTCATGTTATCTACGGTTGTAAAAGACGAGTGAAACAATGGCTTTAACTAACATTGGAACCTTCTGACTGGAGGAATTATTTGAGGATGAATGAAGACTGTTATTTCCAATTATTTCGTTTGATAACGCCGTTAAATCAGAAAAAAGATAAATAATTGAGGGACAGTATTAGCCCTCATGAGCCCTAAACTTTGCGATTTTTGGCCACAAGTATGAATTATAAAGAGCTTAAATTTGTCAACAGCTATTATTTCTATCTTCAGTTTTTTTTCTAAATGAGTCAACTGTTTCAAATAATAATAATTCTTCCAATGCTAAATTTCTCTTATTTTTATCATAATAATGGGGATCTGAAATTTTCCATAAACAAGAAATATCCTTATACATATCAATAAGACTTATAACAAAATCACTCTTTGCACTCTCTGTTGCGCGTTTTCCCATTCACGATGAGTTGCAGCGATAGAATTTTGGAGCGGAGTGATGGATTTTTGTTCGGATGGAATTCCAACTAGTCTCATCACTCCACTCCAATCACATGAGGATTCCAAATTTACGTAACTCCATTGAAGTGCTATCGTTCCATATGACTAGATGGAACGGACGAGAATGGCCAGCTTTACATAACATTCCTTCACGCTATAATTGACATTACTAAAGAAAACTTCACGCTATAATTGGCATTACTAAAGAAAACTTCATGGTATAATTAATATTTGTAAACAAAACTAACCTTACCTAACATTCCTTCACGCTATAATTGGCATTACTAAAGAAAACTTCATGGTATAATTAATATTTGTAAACAAAACTAACCTTACCTAACATTCCTTCACGCTATAATTAATATTACTAAAGAAAACTTCACGCTATAATTGGCATTACTAAAGAAAACTTCATGGTATAATTAATATTTGTAAACAAAACTAACCTTACCTAACATTCCTTCACGCTATAATTGACATTACTAAAGAAAACTTCACGGTATAATTAATATTTGTAAACATGGGAATTTTATAATCTATAGATGGATGTTTTGAGTGTATCAGTATCATATACAAAATGTGAGGATGTTGAATAGTGGTCAAACCAGTGAGCTTATTATTAAGATGAACCAAATACTTTATGCTACACTGCAACTTATATCGTTGCTCTTTCGCTTGCAAACAACTTTTTTAGAGGTCTTATGACCACCACAAAAAATAATTTAAGTATGTGATATCGTAGGATCGGAATGTTTTATGGTTACAATAAATTGATTGGTTTATTAATATTATTTATTTCGAGAATAGAATTTCTAAATTTTTTTCAAAGTTGGACTTTAAAATAAATGTAAGTTTACGTACAATAAACCCAAAGGTTCAAATTGAAGAGAACAACTACTGTAAAATTTAAATTCGTTCGTCACAGATGTACGGAGAAGGTTTCGGATACTTGGAAAAGTTTTGGTCAGGCGGAATACCGCGTGCTGCCGAACTTGCTGCGAATGAAAAAGTTTAAGTTTGGGTCGGTTCGCGTTCGGGCGTAAGGTTTAGGTTGAGTTGGCGGGTCAATATCGGCGCGAATAAACACGAAAATTCATTGCAACCGGGGTATGAGCTCGTTTTGCAAACGTCCGTGTGTAAAAGTTAAAGCACTTCTTGGTGCAGTTGTTTCGATGTGTACCCATCCGAATTTCTACGCTTGTTTAACTTAATATATCGATCGAAACAGGTTTCGACGTTCGAAACAAATGTAAAATACTGTAGGTAATCGTCCGAATAGACCGTTTTGTTCACTTGCCAGAAATGAATTTTAAAGTGTAGCAAATAATGCTGACTTGGTGCTTTTATGCTAAAACACTATTCGAAAGTTATAATTTTAAAATAGAAATTTTTAACATTTTTAGAAAGTGTTTTATTTGTGCAATAAAAATCTAATTAACCTCATGCAAATAGCTTCATTTCATGAATGTTTCTAAATCGTCTCTGACTAACGAGAATATACGGTAAGATAACGGCTGAATTATACACAACATAGGCAGATATACACCTGGGTATAACGTTGTTCAAGTTTCCTCATTAAACCGAGGTTGCTCAAATTTAGCTTCACCCCTAGTTTCATTCATTAATACAAGCGAGAAATTCCAGTCATCCTCTGTTAATGACGGTGGAAATTGTCGAAGGTATTGCCTTACAACGTTTTCTTATATTACGCAACGACTTTTATTATTTTTAGTAAAACCTCGATCTAATGGACCATGTTAGAATGGACTTCGGATATAACGGACAAAATATTAGCGTTAGATTGTTATACCGGGAATTTCATATAACTCGCAATATATGAATAGAGTAACCACAGTTACGAAACTACAGCGTGTTAATTAATTATCGTATCCGACGTTATCATTGCAAGTATGCAACCAATATCACAGTATACGCGATTTGCGTATTGCAATACCAATACTGTGATATTGGTTGCATACTATACGTATGTATTTGCACTGCGCTACATGAAATGCAACATAGCTTAACGGTACAGTACTGGATAGTTTTACAAAGGAAAAGTTTTGTTCGGAAAAAGATGACGTCCTTATGATAACTCTGAGTTTTCGACCGTTTTAAGAGACGCACGGCTAAGCCCTAATGTTTTTGGTACTAGGACAATGTAACGCTGAATAACAATTAAAACTAGAACTAACGCTAGACTTAGAACTAGAAACATTCGGGTTTAGCCGCACGTCTCTCAAGACGGCTAAACCCGAATGATTCTAGTTCGAAGTCTTGTGTTAGTTCTAGTGATAGTGCTAGTGCAATACAAGAAGTAACACTAGACCGAGAACTAGAAACATTCGGATTTAGCCGCACGTCTTTCAAGACTAGTTTTCGATGTTTTCGTGTAAAACTAGAACTAACACTAGATCTAGAACTAGAAAGTATCGGGTTTAGTGTTCTACTTATAGTTATTATTCAACGTTATATTATGAGCTAGAAGCAGTATATTAAAAGTATTTAGTGCATTATAATATACAAACCGAGAGGGCATGAAAGTTGAACAGCACCGCCAAGAGAAACTTCTAATTGTCGTCCTGTAGAGCTTAGTTCTCTGACATCTAAATCGGGCTCTTGAGTCATTTCAATTTCATCTGAAATTTACACAAAGAAAAAATATATTATATTGATAAATCTTTAGAAATGAGAATCGTTTACTTTTGGAAAGAAATTACTAAAAAAAGAACTGAAACTAGGAAACGGGTATTATTGTTAATTAAAAGGTGACCACACAGTTTTACTCCGCCATAAAGAGAATTACCAGCGATAAATTTTCGTATACGGTTCCAAATAAAATTGAATCCAGCGAAAAGCGGGGGGAAAAGGAAAAGAAAGGAAGGAAGCGCAGCGGAAGAGCCCAGATTATCTCGATACACAAGATTCCCTGTGCACTAATTTCACCGTTACGATCTTGTGCTGTTCAATTAAATTTTATTTAATTTCCGGCTCGAAAGGCTGAAGTTCTCAACAAACCTGATCAATTCGCAGTTTTCTTATCATGAATTTAATATCTTTTTTAAACAAATCTTTTAAATATAAATTTGTAAATTCCTATTATCTCATATTGGGTTACCACAAATATTCAACACACACGCCAAACAAACCAATCGATAATTACAGTTGACTAAACGTTCAATAATCGAAGTTGTAATTTCATATTACACCCAGATTCCAGGTTATATTGAACGATATCAATACACACTTGTGATTAATTCCATTTCTACCCCATAAGAAATACTAGAATGACGAAGACAACGCAAGAAAGTTTTAATTTAATCCGCATAATAACGAACAATTAAGTTTTCATCTAGTGATATCGCCTTGCCCATAAATAGTTATGGTGAGTGGATTAGTTGTGCAAAGCGCCTTGGATGAGGAAGAACTTCAGCTGCAGGCCAGTTGTTAATTAAGTTAAAACCCTGCGAATACGTTTTATAAAGTGCTCCTACCCCGCTGTTACTTAAATGAAACCAGAACAGTTTCAGACTATTTCCAGAATTTGCTTTCCTTTGGTAAATGTTAAATAGAATATTAAATAAACGCGACGATTTCAATGTTAACTTTAAAATATTGATAAATTGAGTTTTTGTCAGTGTAATTAGTAAAATAATCCCTAAAACCCAAGCATATCGCTATCAGATTTAAAGCAAGCGTTAGCTTAAGTCTGAAAATAGGGCAACAAAAATCAGTGTGTACAGCTGGCTTCCGGTTGGTTCTCGATCCTGGAGTAATCCTGGCGACCCTAATCTGATTAGCCGGTCTAATGGGAGGACGCAATTTAATCAAAAATAAATGCACCGCAGAGAGGGCGAGAGTTTAGGCGTGGAGAGAAAGAGATACTTACTCCTCACGTTGAGGTAATATCCGATGCTGGAGAATCTACCGAGCAGATGCCTCGATATGCACTTGTACCAGCCGCTGTGCTCACGCCGGATTTCGGTGAAATTGAGGAAACCGTCGGGAGTCTGTTGAACCGGTGGGTCCGTGTCGTCCTTCTGCCATATTGGAGCGGCCTTAGGGTTCGCGTCGACGTCGCACTTTAACGACAACGGCATTCCTTCTCGTATGGGAAATCCGAATCCGGGCTCACGGGATATTGCGAAAGAGGGTGTATCTGAAACAAGTCAATCGTAGGGGATTACTGCTTTGGACTGGCTATATCGTTCCTATCTGGTTTAGACCAGAATCGGTATATAGTATGTATTGGTGTGATTCGTAATTACCCAAGGGAACTAACAAGAAGGGATACAATTTTATAGAAAATCTATAAATTTGCCTATAAATTACTAAAAATATCTCTGTACTAAAAAAGTATTACGAGACTTAAAAATTAGAATCATTTAACTTTTTCTTATATGTACCGTAAAATTCTGACATAAAACTACAAGAACGTTCGTAAAATTTTCTCTTTTTCCCAGTCCGCTTCTACTCAATAAAATAAAGTCGCAATAGTTACCGACAACTGCGGCGTACGTGTTTATTTTCCCTACGATGGAACACCGTTTGCGAATAAGTGCTCGGGTATATTTCATATTTTTCAGTTAAGAAATATCACGTTCGTACATTTCGACTTATATTTCTCAAAGGACTTCACATCCGCGCACGGGCGCTCAAAAGTTTACACGACCGATTCATAAAATTCACGGAATTTCACATTGCATGACACCGGCGCGTATCATGACTAAACTTTTTTAATATACAAACTGAAATTGCACAAGCACATTTACTACCGGTTCTAGGGAAATCATTTATATACTCGCAGAAATAGTGAAAAAAATAAAAACAAAAAATTGGATTTTCAAATATTTTTCAAATATACAAAACCTATTTCATACAATTTTCTATTTATGCAAAGTTAGTTCCCAATTAAATAGGATTTTACATAGCCGGAATTTCATTTAACCCGCAATATATGAATGCAGTAATCACAGTTACGAAACTGCTATGCACTTGAACTGTCCCACATAAAATGCAACATAGCTTAATAGTACAGGCGTTGGGTAGTTTTGCAAAGGAAAAGTTTTACTTGGAAAAATCGTCCTTATGATATCCAATCTAACGCCAAATAACAATTAAAACTAGAACTAGATTTAGAACTAGAAACATTCGGGTTTAAGCCGTCTTGAGAAATGTGCGACTAAACCCGATACATTCTAGTTCTAGGTATAGTGTTAGTTTTAGTTCAATAAAAACTATGCTAACTAGCGCTACCTACTACTGTCACTAGAACTAACATTAGACCTAGACTAAAAACATTTGGATTTAGCCGTATGTCTCTTAAAACGGTTAAACCCAAATAATTCTAGTTCTAGGTCTTGTGTTAGTTCTAGTGATAGTGCTAGTGTAAAACTAGAACTAACACTAGATCGAAAACTAGAAACATTCGGATTTAGCCGCACGTCTCTCAAGACGGCTAAACCCAAATGATTCTAATTCTAGGTCTTCTGTTAGTTCTAGTGATAGTGCTAGTATAAAACTAGAACTAACACTAGACCTAGAACTAGAAACATTCGGGTTTAGCCGTGCATCTGAACACTAAAACTAGCACTAGCATTAAAACTAACATTAGACCTAGGAACATTCAGACATGTTGCATTTTATGTGGGACAAAGTAAGTAGGTACGCTCTGGTTTCTATGAAACTATATTTTTGTATATTGCATCTTAAATGAAATCCGATTTCGATGTACATTCTTGATGTACATTTACACGGTTCTCATTCGAAAACTCAATTCTTGGCCAATACGATAGTGATGGATTAAGATTTCGTATGAGATTTAGATTTTCTTTTTAGTTTTAGATTTCCTCCTTTATAAATTATTGATTTTTATGATTTAATAACTCGACTAAGGTATAGTCTAATAAAAATGATTTATAATAGAAGGCAAAACGAATTGTCACAGCCCATCTGGTTCTATTTCCGAAGAACGAACGAGGTGGCAACAGCTTTGTCGGCAACGGAGATGGCCACACATGGTGTCGATATTGGAGATAGTGCGTTGCGTCGGCATATTCAGGATATTAAATTTCCCCATTTCATTTTCAATTTATAACTGTAGTAATGGGGTGTCACCTGGAATAAAGTGTGTTAACATACAGTCGATATTTGACGGATCAGGTGTAGGACGTCGACTGTACGAAACGTATTGTGAAACATGACCAGTATCAACACAAGCTTGGTGGAAAGCGTGAACTGGAGCAGACCCAACAGCGGTTAAGCAAATGCGGTCGACGTATACATTATACGTTTACTGGTAGGTGACATGATAAGTTGAATGCAGGATTCTGGGTTTGAATGTTTCACCTGCGACCCCAAAGGCGAATTGATGTTTCCGTTGATTCGTGCCATATAAACAACAATACAATTCATGTACCAACACATACAGATCAAATGCGTTGATAAAATTTCAATTAACAGAATCCAACACACAAACGTTTACAATCCTGTTTACAATATTTAAATTCAACTTAGCAATAACAAACAATTTGAATTTAAATGTCAATAAAAAAAATAATAAATAGTTTTAGATAAAACTTAGTACCGAATATACGCTAAATGCGTCCATATAAAGGGCATTTAGGAAAACTCGACGGTAATAGAGTGCTCCGGAAACAGCTATTCAAACTGCGGGAAATCCACTATACTGCGGAACTACTGATTTTAGTGGTCGATATTTTTCTTTAACAACCTAGTCTCGTCCTTCTAATGTCCCTTTTTAAGGGCATTTGAAAGAGACAAGGAACACTCCCGGGAGCCCTTACAGAACCTCACGATGCTAAATTATTAACTAGTTCAATTTTATTTTGCTACACAAACGGAAAACCCCAACAAAATAATTGTAAAAAATTAAACGAGTTTTAAATGGAAAAACTTTACAACAACAAACATTTATATAGACCGTTTGAAATTTACGGACTTGATTAGTTTTACAATTTGGATAATTTAAAGAGATTAAATTAATTTTCGGGTAACTATGGATGTAGTAACAGTCTAAAAGCTTCCGAGTTACCATAATATAAAAGGTAGCTTCGGTTTGTATTTGTGTGACTTCTCAATTAAATTAAATCAGGGCAAACAGCTTCAAACTGAATTTCACAGTTTTCTCTTCGTCGAGTTATTTGTACACGAGGGGCACTCTGTTTAATTTGCCGCATTATGAAGTTGAAAATTGGTCCGACCTACTACTCCTACATCGCTTGAATATGTATGTGTGCTTTGTTGTAGAAAAACAAGTATTCTGGTTGTACATATTAGCCCATACCCGCTTTTCTTCCTTAAATAAATAACTGCATTTTGCAAAGCAAGTCGCTGTATATATATATATATGGAAACTTTAGCTCTTTCTACCATCGTTTAAATTGAATGTGTAAAATTTAAGTTTGATTTGCTACCGATTCTATAACCTTTTCACTAGTATGCAGACTTTTATCATCTTTCCAGAGTTGTAGGCACGAGAACTTAGTCGACCTCTATAAGATGTTCTTGTTTTTCTTCGTGTGCGGATGAGTAGACCAATAATCGTTCACACTATTGTTCCTAACTCGTCCCATTAATATATTCAAAGTATTTAGCAGAATTTAGATTTAACATACAGCATCCCGTCATCTATGAGCACCATCTGGTATTCCTCAAACAGTATTTAGTCTAATACAAGTAGTATTCAGATTATGCTCAGTCTTGTCCAATCAAAAACTGGTTTCTCAAAAGTGTACGTGGTTTCAAATAGCGTGTAATTATCTTCAGAATATGTTGATAAAATTACTTTCGTCTCTCAAAAAAAAAAACAATATAAGATATGTTAATAAAACAACAAGTGTTTTAAATCAAATTTAATTAAAATTTCGATTCAACAATACGTTCAAAGAAATAAAATATAACAAATTACATCGAATTAATGCCGTTTGATTTAAATTTCAATTGCTGGAACATATTTGCACAACTTATAAAAATATTCGATAGTGTTATTATAACATAAATTTACATTTCAACAACAATGAAACAATTTTATCGCTTATATGGTTTAATTGGTGCGTATAAGTGGTACCTATAAGAACATTTCGGTTTAAAAGGCCATGTTTGGTGCGTATATGACCACATTAAAAATATGGAAGCTAAAATGATTAAGAACGTAAATAATGAACAAAGCGTTCTCATGCATTTACATGTACATTTATGATGATGATGATTCGAACGTGTTGAATCTTGTTCTGATTTGCTGGATATAGCATCGTAACTTTTCACTGACGAGCTACTTTGCCTGTCGTATATTTCGTTGTCTAAAGAAAATTTTTCTATTTTTTCGGATACTTTATTAGAATGTCTATCTGATGCCTTTGAGACCGTTTTAGTTGATGTTTTATCAGACGGATTATTAATTATTTTATCTACCGGATTAGCCACAATTTTATGTTTAGTCTCATAATGTTCCGATGATGTTTCATGACGTTCTGACGATGTATCATGATGCCTATGTGTGTCATGATGTTCTGACGATGTATCATGATGCTTTTGTGGTTCATGATGTTTTGGTGTATCATGATGTTTTGGTGTTTTTACTGGAACAATTTCAGGTATAGCTTCTATTACGCTTTCTGCTAAACTCTCATCATTATGTTCTGAAATTTTTTGTATCCTATCTGCAATATTTAATCGTTGACAAGGAACGCAAGGAGGGCACATGCCGTTTCCGTGATAAGTTGGACATTTTCCACAAGGAGTGCATCCATTACAAGGTCTATATCCACAAGTATTACAAGATGTACAAGTTGAACATGGTACATATGTCGAACATGGCGAACATTTCGAACAGCCGCATGCTGAGCATCTACGGTCTCGTAAACATCCTCGTAGCGAGGTTGGAGATGATGAAGCAGGTGTTGCGGGTATACTACTTCTCATGTTCATTGGTTTTGTATAAACAGTACCTAAATGTTCATCAAGATTGTAAATTGGATCATTTCCTTTAAACCCCAACACTTGAGATATACTACCGTCACAAAATCTTGTAGGCGAACTATTCCTTCTTACCGATGATGGTGATTCACTGGTAATATTTCCATCCTTCTCTAAATGCTTTAAATGTTTTATATCCTTATCTCGTTTATTATTCAATTTGGTTCCATCATGTGTATAATCTGCCTCTCGACATCCATAAGCTAATCTATTCGGACTTGAAATTCCACAAGGGCAAGTATAACACATTGTTTCGCTAATAAGACGTTTCTGATTATTTACATCTGCAGAATGTGTACATATATCACAACCACCTACTATTTTACATGCCTTACAAGAACACACTTTTCCGCCATTGCAACCATCAGAAGTAAATTGATGATACAGCTCTTTACATTTGCACTGATAGTTGTGAGCGTTTTCATTGCACGCATCAAAAAGAGCCAAACCAAAGACACCTGTCATTTTCTTATTATATGGAAAATTTTTCGACAATTCAGACCACTGTCTTCTTAAAGTGTTGAAATCGTAAGATTCATGATCTGGATCAGAACAATAATTATTTTCGTATTCTGACGTTTTGGTGAAGTTTTTCTTATACTCACAGTTGCAGTTACACAATGGGTGTTGAGGCGGTGTTACCACAAACGACATTTTAATGATAATTTATATTGTATGGTAGAAAACACTATAAATTTAGACAACATCGCGAAACGCACGCGAAAATGAATGATGACATCGATGATAATACAGTTGTTGTTATAGTGACGGTCATGAAGTTGAAAATTTATGTGTGACATTAAAATGAAATTTTTCTGGAACATTAGGTAGAAAATTAATGTAAAATAAAGTTTAAATTGTAGAAAAAAATACGATGAATTGCAAAACGTTGCAATTTATAAAATTGGAAAGGCTCCAAAGGTTGGGGTTATCTAGAATGTGCTAGGATCAATCTAAGGTTATGTTGGAATTATAATTTAGTTGTTATTCTCATCTAATTTTATACATGCATGCGTATTACGTTAAAGTATCATTTATTTTTTGAAAGTAGATTACAAAAGTTTGCCTAATTTGAATAGGGAATATAAAGTATTGATTTTCTGATGGAGATGAAGAGATGTTCGTAAAGTTAGAAAAGTTGAAATCGGTTTATCTTGATATAAACTCACATTATGGTGTACGATTACGGTCATAAACTTAAACAAAGGGCGAATGCCGTGCATCAGTTTGTTTATTGTTGGTTTTCGCAAACCGTCGCGCTGATCCTGGCAGATGTTTTAGAGCTAATATACCCAACCAGACGGAGCAGAAGCTTCTCGACGAAATTTACTCGATGTAAACACCACCGTTAATACACAAATAAAACTGATAGATAGCTATCGGACTTTAATGTTTATCTTTTTCAATGCGTCGAACAGTTAACTGCTCTACTAATGGTGTCCTATTTATCTCTCCATTAGTTGGAAATGGCTGATTACCGTAGTTAGTTATTGATTTAATCATTAACAATCGGTTTGTTGCTATGTTTTACAAAGGTTTTAATAAAATTCTACATTCCCATTAATTCTATTACTTAAAAAGATAGTTTGCAATAAAAGCTGATTGCATGACGTTCTTTCGCGTAAGCTCAAGATAATAATACCCCCCATCTCGCCATTCAAGCCGATTGCTTTGCATGATCCGTTCAAATTAAACCATTTTAATCTAGCGAATGGTCGTTCAATGTTTAGCTTTCAAATTGAGGCAATTTTCATGGCGTAGTCCCCAGAGAAATTTAGATAATCTCATAGTCTACATATATCATTACTATTCGAGCGGCCGCGGTTACGTGTATGATTTTCGAATTCGTCCCTTTCGTTAGAGAAACCAACTACAAATATATCTGATTTGACGGGTAGGGTAATATGAAACCACGTTTCCCGAATGTACCTCGGTTCACGAACGGGGATGTTAAAGGGAAGAAGCCGTAAAATGAAAAGAGGAAATCCCGAGCGAAAAGATAATGAAGGGATTCGCCTTGACATCGTTTCGCCACTCGATACGTTTTCGGGGGTCCTAAAATATGGTTTTGATAAGAATACGCTGGGGATATGAATTTTCGTCAAATCAATAAGTCTGACAAACTTTTATCTATTCACTCTAATGTTATCGAAATGAAAAGATGTAAAAGTTGTCAAGTAAACGTTATAAATGACATTAGCTCAAAGTCTAAATTATTAGTTTATATAGTAATTAAAATGCCGGGAATTCGGGAATTTAGAACATGTTGCGATTGCAATTCAATAGTAGAAACGACTCATTCGCCTGGTTTACATGATGATTGTGAATGTAATATGGACTTTCTTGGAACTCAATATGATAGATACAGCTACAAAAGATTTCTATATCCACAAAATATGAAATGGATGCAATGCAGGTATCCAGGAATTTCTAAGAAAACATCGTTTAAAAATAAACATTTAACCGCCATTCATTCCCCACCATGGTGGAATTTAAATAAATTTAATAAAATTTCGCTAGGTAGTAGTTTAAACCTTTGCACAAGCGACGAACAATATCAAGAATGTACCAAGTTATCTTCATTGGAAATGAAAAGGGCGGTTGGTTTAGTATATCCATGCTTCATAGATGACAACAATCGAAACAAAAGAAAACTTAGAAGTACAACAAATTTTCGTGACGGTAAGAAACCAAAAGAGCTAACGACAGTCTACAAAAGAGAATGCGACATGACATCATTAAGTACATCAGATTCTGGAACGTTATGCTCTTCTATTCATACACAACGTGAAATACTTCAAGTTCCATCTGTCAATTTGAAGTACAATACTCCTGAGACCAACGTGGAATGTTGTTTAGTAGAAAGGGTGATACCTTTTAAAAGAGACAACACTGGTTATTTTGAAGTTGTTTCACCGAATGATAATTTTGTACCAGGAAAGACTCGCAAGTCTCGAGGGAAACATAAAAAAAATAAAGTCCAACTTACGACAACAACAGTAACAACACCCGTGTCAGAAGGATTACAAGAAACAAAGATACAAAATAATAAGAAAGATGTGCTAACTCCCATTATTGAGTATAAACCAGATCAAGCACCAACGAATTACGTTACTGCAAAGTCTTACCATTCGATAATAAGAACAAAGGAAACATCTTATACTCCAGACGATATTGAAAACATAAATTATGAAACAAAAAGAATTTCGACGTTACATAAAGAAGACGTAAAAAGAGTGTCGTTTTTAGAGCTTGATAAATTTCCTACCAAAATTAATAAGGATATCGATGCTAAACGATTAAATGATATCAAAATGGAGGATAAATCTTTATCCGCACATTTATCGTCATCTAGTGATGATGGAAAGCTACCTCCTAGTATTACAAAAATTTTGACTGAATTATTATTAGACCCAGAACATGAAAAAGTCATTAAAAATGTTCTTCATAGTTTAGCACGGAAAGCTGCCATAAGAAAATCGTTATCCAACACCATCTTAGAATTAAAAGGGAAAGAAAAACTGGGAATATCGAAAAGGAGAAGTTCTGGATCTATCCAGAATGTGAGTAGCTCCGATTTGGACCGTTTGCACTTTGAAAAATATAAAGCATCAGTAGATGTGGCGATTAAACTGTTGGAGGATCGTATGACGAAAAAGATTTACGATGCGGTGAGAAGCAAAGAACATAAACGAAAACGGAAAGAAGATACAGAAAAATATTATAAAGATATAGTTACTTGCAGTGTTGATAAAGAGAGTTATGTTAAAGGGAAAGCTCGTCGTGGATTAGATTCGCAAAATTCTTTGCTTTCTTTCAAAGATTTGGCAGGTATGTATAAAACATAATTTATACAACCACTAATACTCACAAAATTACAAACAACATGTGTTTTTATTTAAAAAAGAAATGAAAAACGTTCTTAAATTAATGTTGTGATTTCAGAGAAACCATACCCAAGTGAAGATATAAGAACTACGTTAGCATATAACTGTCACGTTAAACCATCTACAAGTCCATTTAAGAAAAATCAAGAAAAATACGAACATCCTCGACGAAATACTTTTAGTATACCGGGTCAAAATGACTTGCGTCAAAATCAAAGTAATGTAGGACAACCAACAAATAGTCCGCGAGAAAACAAAGCAAATGATGTTGAAAAAAATGAGGAAAATCCAACGAAAGAAGAAGCATTATTGAAAAAAACTGAATCTAAAACAAAAATTATAAATAGTTCCACCCAACTGAGTAACAATGAATTTACACCAATGCTTCAAAATTGCGAAGAATTTATAGAAACGAATAGTAAGAAAGTATCTCCAGCAGATAATTCTAATGAAGATAGTATGGATTCAAACAATAGTTATCCGAGAGGTTTTCGAGAAGTGTGCCGCAATGATACTAAAAGAAGACGAGAAGATAAACATCCAAGAAAAACATCGCCTGATTATCAAGTAGATAACGAAAAAATCCACCGCTTCCAGCATAAAAAGTATCAAGATAGTAAAACAAGATATAAAAGTAGTTCTCGTGATGTTTTATCACTGAGTGAACATCCACGAAATTCTGTTTATAAACATCCTATAGATTACTGTAATATATCACCTCCAAGAGATTATCGCGATAACAATAATGTTTATGAAAATCAATTTGAAGTAAGAGATGTAATTTTATCACCTCCAGGTAATGCGTTATTAATTATAATATTTAACATTAACAATTAACTTACACCTTATCTAGATACATCAATTTCCGAAAAAGATAGTTATGGTCCTCAAAATAACGATAACGGACGATTACCACGTATTCAAGAATCTAAAGAAAATAATAAACCTATACTTAATACAAAAACCATGCAACCTAACCATTACAATCGATTTCATCCGGAATACCCAGACAAATTGTTTAGTAGAAACACGATTGAAAAAGTTGATGCTTTATTCAATAATAATAAACATCCTGTACCATTGGATTATAGCCTAAATCCTAGTAGCAATAGTACATCTGTTACTCGCACTTCGCAACATGACACCCATTCAGTTGGAAGTAAACAATTTTCAACACCACCGATTTCATCTTCTAACGAAGACGAAAAAGTAAGAAAATCAAATAAAAGTAGTAATTTAGGACAAGAAACGAAAATGAAATTTAGTGAATCTACTAATCGATGTCGACGGCTACCACAATATGATGATAACGATGATTCTAGGGATTATAATGAAATTATGCCACCCGAATATTATTGTAATTATGGTTGGTATATGAGACCATATCAAAATAGTCCGATGGGACATTATGATAACTTACCCTATATGAATAGGATTCAACCCAAAAATTATCCATCGGCACATAGTTCTCAAGATTCTCTACACGATCCTTATACTTATGGACCTATTTATTCTGAACGGATTAGGTATACTTGTAGATTTCAAGGAACCGAAAATGCAAACTTAATAAGCTTTGTGGTATTTTTGATGCTATTTATCGGGTTGTTTCAATATCTAAATATTCATATCACGTAACAAAAGTATATATAAGATCAAATCTAAGCATTCTCTTTTGTTTTCTTAAATACTCTCTCAGGATTTAATGTATTGTACTCAAATAATATTTTTAATAATAATCAAACGTTGTATACAAGTGATTGCATTCAATTTTATTTTGACGAGATACTGTTTGTTGTAATTTAGCTAGTCAATATTGACTGTTTGTAGATAGAATCGGCCAATCCTCTTGTTTATAGTACCTTTAATGATGTTTAACGAAAATCAGTCGACATTAGATAATAAATTGCCAGATGAGATAAGAAATTATAAAAATAGTTTCCTTCCTGACCAATTAAGAGCCGATATCGAAATTTATATTTCTTAAAATAATAATATGTGAACAGAATTTTAAAGTGAAGTATCTAACAATCCATGTGCACAATCTTTATTTCTATAAGATAGTGAATGGAATCGTTTACGTAAATGAGATCGAAAGTGGCATGGATGCCGAGGAATTCACAAGTATCTGGGTATCGTTCCTGGAAAGTAAAGTACTTCCTAAACCAGACAATGCAACTATAACCATTTACATGAATGGCTGCAACTATCTAAAACGGAAATTGTGTCATGACCAATACTTATTTAATTTAACAATAAACTATAAAGTAATAATAAAACAAAAATTTCTGGAAGTTAGACATATTAGACAAAAATTAACAACATAATAAATGTTGCAGCTAATTATATTCGTGCTATCCAATACAGACCAGACGAGAAGACTTTTTAAGATGAATTTTGTGGAGGAAAGAAAAAGCCTTACTCAAACAATATCATCAAATCTAAAGTACTGTTTGTAAAGTAAGCTGAAAAATCGTCATGAATGATGATTAAACCAACGTTGTACGTGGATTCAGAATACCATAAAGTACAGTGAACTTCTTTTTAGGTGTTTTTGTAAGATTTTTTGACAAGTTACTACTTTAAGCCATAGGTAGTTTTTAAAATAAAAAAAATATCAAGATAAATGGAGAAAACACATTTTCTATTCAGTGACAGATCTTCCAACAAAAATATCGGAATGTTTCTCGTGTTAGATGTGAATTTCTTTTACTTTAAGGGTCGTCGAGGGAGTCGATGTATAAGTCATAAGAGTTGACGTGCGAATCGTTCCGTACACATTTTTTATTTTGATTTCGTATGGGAAATCAAATCCAGAGCTGATGTGTGGACCTACATATATGAAAAATATGAAACAGAATTGACATGATTGACTGGTTTAATACTGCGGTGCTGTTTGTTCACATAAATTTTTTTTTTAATATTGTAAAAGATTAAAAAAAATGATATAACTTGCAAGTTAATACAACCACTTGAACTCATAAGTTTTGTACATATCTTTTTACACAGGTTTAATTCCAGTTTAATGTTTTGGTGGAGGAGCCGGTGTTTATAAAACAAAATTTTGATAAAACAAATACTTTTTAGGATCAAGAATTATACCACACGACAATCAATTAACTAAAATTAATCTATTTGATTTAGTGTATTGTTAATACAACCATAAATAATTTATAGCCATTCAACAGTCATTGATTTATTGTGATTAGTCTCTAATTGTCGAAAATTAATATTGAGTTATTGCTATCACCAAGTAATACAAATGATTAATTTACAATAGAAATAATTTCGTGCCAATTATATTTTTCAACTCCCACGCTCAAGATTATAAGAAATTAGTTACATGTTAAAACGAATTTTTAAATCCCCAATTAATGATTCACTGAAATACGAATCCGTTGTTATTCGTGTTGTCGTAAATTGGAAATACCGTCGTAAAAAAATAATAAATCGCCTGCTAACAAGATTTCCTTTGTCACTCCTTTTCGTTCGTATGTTACGTCATAACCGGATTAAAGGAAATTCCATTTTGTCGACGATGTTGTAGAACATAATAATTTTTCGTGCATAAAAGCGTACAATTTTCAATCGTACCAGAACCCATATTCGCGTTCATTTTATTCAAGAAACGTATATTTGGTTTCATTATCTATCTCATCTTATTGCGACACCGTCGAGTAAGAAGAATGACAGTAGTGCAGCCGCAAAAGGGTGTGTCTGTTTCGTGTTAACATCACACAGAGTGGTTGGAAATGTTAGTTGTAAGTATATATTTCAGTGTAGATCGTATTAACGGCTATTATGTTACAAAATAAACAAGAATTATTACAAGAATTAATATTAATGAATTATTACCTATGAAAACTAGGTTTTTAATTTTATATGCCTGAAATCTGACTAGGTACTCAGAACGCAACGGGAACTAAAACAATATATTCTGATTTATGCAACGATAATTCATCACGTTGGCTTCCCGCAATCTATCTCACGGTATTAAATTAACATTCCATTTGCAGGCATCAGTGACAAATTTTAGCTAGATTTATGAGTACGGATGGTGAAAAACGTTAAAGTGCTTTTTTTGCCTTTTTAAATTTACTAAGTCTTTAATACATCAACAATTTAATCAAAATGTTTGCAAAACGTTTTGTTAGAGAAAGCGTTAGTGGAATAAATTAGTTAACGAGGAAACAACCCAAACAAATGAAACAAAAGGTTTGGTTGGTTTTGTGTTTTCTCCGTTTTAGTTTTCTTTTAAGAAGAGGACCTTCCGCCCCCATTCATTCCCCGTCTAAACACTTATTTACACAATGGGAGCAAACTTAGAGGCGAACAATGGTAGTTGATACGAGCATTTTATTTGCTCGCGAACACCGGCTCGTCCGGTAGTAGCACGATTGTTCTCGGGTGCAACGATTACAAACTTATTTAAGTGCATAATTTATAAACTCGTTCCGCTTTGAGATGTTTGTTCAAAAAGTATCTTATTTACATGATACTCAAGACCACCCGCTTTATCCCCCTCTTATGTATTTGGAGGAAGTTTCATGCTGAACAAAAACTTTTCACTGTAAACATGGGTTGCGAACGTATATTTGCAGATTTCTATCTCGGTTCGCAGTTTACTCAGTCACAATATAGCCGCTCGACGATTTTCTGTTTAACTTTTGAACTATCCGATACCACCTAATCAATACACGTATACATATACGACCCCAATAGATATTATTTCTATGTTAAGTACTAGTATATTCATCAAAACTTTATATTTTGTTGTTCAGGAATAATTATATGAGTTTTCCCTTCTATTCCAAACATTAGCTCTAAATATAATGAAGCAAATAGCTTGAATAAAGCGAGTAAACATGTACATTGTAGTGTGTAAGTTATAATGTCGAGGTATAATTTGTGACTGTTGAATCCTATGGTTTATGGCAACAACGTGTATAGTTTGTGATACATGTGCAACCGCAGATTACACGCTTAAGCATCTCCTTTGCTTAGATGTTGTGTACTGATGCATATATACCGACGTTGTGGTAGAATTGATTACAAATATTATAGGAGAGAAGGGGTAATATTCCAATAAATAATTAAATTATTAATGAAGAATAAAATTAAACCATTCAAAATCACCTGTTAATAGTAGTAATTTTTATCTCAGCTTAAATTTCTTACTTTCTACAATAAACCAAATCATTATTGATGGAAGTATTAAGGAGTATAATATAATATTGATACATCTCATTTCTTTGTTGACTTTGAAAAACTTATTGCACTAACCTAGACCACTATAGAGAAAGTAATTTTCCATATTAAAATACAAAATGAAATATCTAACTCATTCGAAACAAAATTAGTTAAGATAGCATTGGAAAAAGTCTTAAGAGATGCAGAACTAGACATTACAGGCACAATTCTCAATAAGTCCACTCAGATTCTTGTGTATGCTAATATCGTGGATATTATATTGTGATCAGTAAGGAAAGCTAAATAAGCCGTGTCGACTCTGGAAGCAGCAGCGGGGACGATGCCTCGTTATCAATGAGGCAAGGACAAAGTTTATGGCAGTCATGGATAATAGAAGACTACGAGATGCTGGACAAAACATGACAATTAGTGATCAGAATTGAACTAAAATTAGAAGTAAAACTAGAACTAACACAAGAAACTTTCGGGTTTAGCCGTGCGTCTTTTAAGAAAAGATTTGAAGTTTCGGATGCCATGTTGCAACCTTCTTCACAAACTGGTTCGAAGTGAAGGTTCTGCCTTCGTACTTATAGTGATCAGAACTTTGAGATGGTCGCGGAATTTCAGTACCTAGGAACATCACTCAATGTAGATATCAACATGATTACAGTAATTAAGAAACGCACCTTATGCGGCAATAAATGCTAATTCGATCTGTTCAAGTAGCACCTACTACTAATAAGACCCTTACAATACCCATTTTGGTGTATGATTCCGAAGCGTGGACCCTAACTAAAAAAGATGAATCTATGCTAGCCGCATATTAAAGAAAGGTGCTGCGTCAAATATACGGATGATCTATGTATCAGGAGTATGAAGAAGAAGGTACAACTTTAAACTTTATAATGCCTATGGATCATCTGGAAATAGAGATATAGTGACAATTATGAAAGTGGGCAGAACTGGCGACGATGGCCCAGTAAAAAAGATATTTACGGCAGAAGCTATAGATAATAAACGTAGAGGAAGATAGTAGTATAATAATGAGAGTTCTGGAGCGGAAGTTGCTCCCTGTGCTCCCTGCACATGCGCACCAACCAAATTTTTTTTCCATGATTTTAAATTTTCGCACGCCATCTATCTAGCTCGATGGTTAGTAATTTTCGGCCCAACTTAAAAAGATGACAGCGCCATCTATCGTTCATCAGGTAAATTTTAAGCTGCGCCATCTATCAATCATCAGGTATATTTTAAGCTGCGCCATCTATCTGCCATCAGGTAAACCAACCCTTTTTTAGTTTAACTACACACCACCAGACGGCGCCACATGAATTTTGAATTTCAAATTTCCCGCGCTGTGACGTCACTTCCTGCGCATGCGCAGGGAGCACAGGGAGCAACTTCCGCTCCAGAACTCTCATTATTATACTACTGAAGATCTCAACTACCTTGGAGAGATGGTGTGACGGAAAACACCAACAAAATGGGTACTTTTATTTTTTTTGTTGCTGTCGGGCTAAGGGGAACTGTGATGTATAAGATTTTTGTAACTTACACCCTAAAAAGATTTAGGGAAACTCTAGGTCCTTGATGAACTTTAGTATTGCTCCAAGGTTTTGTTCCTTAATGTAAGTAGGTGTCAGGCAAACCTTTCCGAAAATATTGTGTCTTAAGCGACCTCTGGCGATATAATCATACGGAATATGTTCAGCAGTCCTGACTTCTCATTGCAAAGTCGACAAGTTTGATTCTCAGCTTACCCAATGTTGAAGAGATGGTATTTTAGCAACGTACAACTTGACAGAAAACTTGAGGGCGCCCTTAGGTCACCTTTGCCGATAAGATAAAACTTTTTTAGTTTTCTTAATGTTGAGTATTCGAAACTGGACAACACGAGCAAGAGACAGGAAGCAATGGAGATTGAAGCGTCAAAAAGAATGATGATGATGTTGAGGTTGTGCTTATTCTGTGATTGAGTTTATTATTGTGTTTAATTGCCAACTTAATAGCTAGAAACGATTCAGCTAGAAACACCAATGAAAGTGGAATTTGGAAGCAATAAAACCAATTGAACAGTGTTGTGTCATCTTAGAAACTGGTTAATTACTGGTAGTGATGTCAAGCTTCCAAATATAGAAATGTAATTGATTAAATATTGTTAATTTCAACTTTAAATTGAGTTATATATATCTTGATCATATTAGTAATTAAATTGAAAGTTGTAATAACAAATGAACGTAGAGGCTCAATGGTCTAGGGGTATGATTCTCGCTTTGGGTGCGAGAGGTCCCGGGTTCAAATCCCGGTTGAGCCCATTTTTTTTTTAACTTTATTCTATTTATTTATTTTTTATTATTTATTTATAATGTCGTATTTAAATAAAACTTACAAATATATATTAAACGTCATTTTAAATTAATGCAATTAAGTTAGTAGGTCATTTTTTAAGATATATCCGTTATTGTGTGTTATTAATAGCAAATAAGCAAATATGGTAATAAGATACTTACATTGTACATCTAGCAGTAAAGATACGTTAAGAGGTTGCAATAGGGCTATATGGTGCACGATGCAGGTAAGGGTGGCGTTGTGATGAGCGCGCATAACCCTTTCAAGACGCGCATCGTTCCTTGCCCCGACTTTCTGTTCGCGCACCGTCTCGGTGAGATTAAGGGCTTGGAAGGGCACTTCTGGAGCGTCCAGTAACGCAAGAGACCCGAGAGTTAATTCCCATGAGAGTGACGGTTTCGGATTACCGCCATCCACAACACAAGATACCGTCAAGTCGGTGTTTTCCTTTACCGGTATGAATAGGTTGCCCGGATCCAAGATTCTGTTGTCGATTAATAAGTACGGTTTTTTCGGTGGATCTGAAATACAAAAAGAAAAATCTCAATAATAAGTTGTATTAATTCAGAAATGTAAAACGGAAGGCGACGGAATGTATAAAGGTATTTTAAAAACATTCAGTAAAAAGGGCTCGACGTTATGAAGGAACTTTTCCTTTTGTACCTTAATGAACGAATTTGCATAAATTTTAATACGTCGCAAATTGTCTGCTAACGACGTTAAAATGGAAATACGAAACGGAAATGTAGCCGCGATGATGTGAAATATGAACGTGCCAACGCTTTTAAATTAACGAATAAGTATAGTTTAGCGAACCGTAGATAGTTCGCCCTACGAAAACCTCTCATTTATAAATACACTTATCCGAATTCTAATTTACTCCTATTCACTTTATAACTATACAGAAATTTATGTAAATTAAATTCGAGCTTTGCATTCGATTAAATTAGTTTCTTCTTTAAAAATGATTAAACTTGCAGCTTTCTTCGTCGAAAAAAGCATTATTGATTTTTATGTAAACTCGAACTTCTACAGGCGTTGTTGCATTTAGCCATAAAAAAACCGTTCAAACTCCGCTAAACAAGATAACACAATCAGTATTCTCTTTGCAGACCCGGAAAACCCATTTAACTTTGTTTTCGCACGGCTCTGGTTCATCGATACGTATATTTTGAAAAAAAACGGTTAGTTATATCAGTATGCAATGTATTGTGGTGTATAATTGAATTTAGAACACTTTTTTTTTGTAGATTATTAAAAAAACTCACACAACAGTCGCAAAACATAAATAAAAAATACTTTGTGTAGAATTGTAGTCTAAGTGTAAATATTTCTGGCAGTTTTAAAACGATGTTGGAGACAAAGGAGGGTCCTTTTGTTCCTAGAACTAACGAAATAACAATATCATTCTGCAAATATTTGGGAGATAGCACGTCCTCAGGCGTGCAATTTAAACTGTAAACACACCAAAACGGACCAACTCAAATAGGATATCTTCAACAATTAACTCTATCTTTATCTAGAAAGTTAAAAGGATTAAAAAAAAATTAAGTCAACTAAGATAAATTGGTTATTTATTAGGATCCGATCTCTAAATATTTTGATAAGACAACGTTATCCCTCTTAACTTTTCGATCCGCTCTCTCGCTAAAGATTTCGTAACTTCACCCCAGTCGCTGTCCAGAATAACAATGTGTATGCTTTCGAAATTTCTATAGGCTTTCCTCGAACTGTTGATCTCCATACATCTAATATAGATGATAAGGCTCCCGGTATGACCGGAATGTAAATTACTCTCCGGAAGTATGAAACTTTATTTATTTTTGAATTTAATTTAAATTTATGTTAAATTGGCTTAACATAAATTACAGTAAAACCTCGATATAACGGATTAATACGGAGAAGGGAGAGTTCGTTATATAAAAAAATTTTAATTTGCACTTTAAACTGTTTGAATTAATAATCTTAATGCAGACAAATTCGAACAGCTATCCAACGCTGAATAACAACTAACACATATCTCATCCATCTCTTGCCGTCACCCTCTCTCCCAAAATCTGCTTCCTGTTCATCGCCTCTTCCTTCAGCTCACTACATCCTCTCAACATATGTTCCAACGTCCCCCAATCCTTACCACATCGTCCGCCCAATTCGCTCTCTCCGCATTGCCACAGCGGAATTTGGCCACCAATCTTTTCCACTCCACGTCTCCTTCAATCAACAGATACTTTGGCAATTCTTCAGTCACTATCTCCCTATACCTTTCATTATATCTTCCTTCCAGTATCTGTGACCTTCTCTCCTGCCTCTGTATGTCCCTGTCCCTATCCCTCAGTTTTCTCCACATTTCCTTCCCTATCTCCTTGCCCATACATATATCAACCTCCTCTCCTTGATTTCCCACTAGAACTCTCCCAGTGTCCTGCAATGCGGTACTTAAATGTTCTTCTCTCAGCTTCCACCCTTATTCCATCCACCTTACCCTCTTCCCTCACTATATACCCTGGAGCCTCCCTCGCCAACCCTAGTACCTATCTCTAATACCTTGTTCTTTCCATCCCCATACTTCTGCGCTGTACATCATTGCGGTCCTCACCAAGCCCTCAAACATAACTTTCCTTTTTCCCACATCCATTCCCTAAAGTTCTCTCTGCATCCCCAATATCAACCCTATTACCCTCAGAAAACACATATCCCAAGTACGTATACTATTTCACTTCCTCTATCATACTTCATAATCTTTGTCTTCTCGACATTTACCTTCAACTCCTTTGCCTTAAAATATCTGTCCGGAGACTTTATCATTTCCTTCATCTCCACCCCTTCTCTTGCCACCACCACCAAGTTCCTCTATAATTGTCCAACGCCCCTTTACTCGCCTTTTCATGCAGTGGGCATATTACTCAAATTCTCCACCTGTCTGGAAACCCCTCCTTATACCCCTCCTTTCTTCACCGTCTCCGTCGCCTCCAACCATGCCTTATTCTGGATCTCATCCTCTCCTAGCGCCCTTCCCCTCGTCAGCATCCTCAAAATGAAATTTTCCATCCGAAACTTTACAGTATTTAAATGAATCATTACGTAAAGATAAATATAACGAAATTTGGTGATGGTAATTCTAATCTAGTACTGTCAATACACGCAAATAATAAATATCCGTACTTAACGATTAATTATGTCAGATTGCGTATTGTGTTATCTATTTGCTGCATATTGTTATCGAATTTCGCGGGCTGCCGTATTATTAATACGTGATTTGTTATTATGTCGTGTGCAGAAGCGCGCATTGATGCCCTAATTAGCAATAAATATAATGGGATGGATACGAAGACTACGTTATTTAGCAGATCGAAATTATGAATGATATTTACAATCAATCGTAAAATAATGTTTTAAATTATTTAGTAACTTGTGCCTATAATAAAATGGATTGATATTTACAACAAATTAGAACAAAACATTTTCGTTAGTATTAATGCTCGTTCGTTCGTTATCGTTATTCGTAATTGAAAATTTAATTGAATAGGGATAAGTGGTAGTAATGATGGAGTGTTTTATGAAATAATACGGCTTTATTAATAATGAGGTTAATAATGTGTTTTGGCGCGACACATTAATGTTGTGTGAAGTAAAAAGTTTAATTACGTTATTTTAAATGGTATCAGCATTGATTGATAATTTCATATTGGCATTTACATAACGTATCAATCACGAGCTTTTGGTTAGGTCGGTTGACATCCTGGAGGACACTGTTTACGGTATCGCAAATTGCCTGGTCGCCAGTCGATGCCAACACATATAGAGGGTACGCTTCTACGACAGTCACGATCACAAATGATTGGCATAAATTACTCGTCTGGTATATACGAGCCGTTCGATAACCTGTAATTGATATAACTCACTCCGGCAGGGTTCCGATCGCATTATTAGAACGACGACGGAGACCGCAAAGTTGTCCGTTACGATGCGTGCACCTTAATGATATATATCATCCGCCTTCATTACACCGTAAATGGTTTATTAGGGGATGGGTACTGTGACCGCTACGTGCCGTTCATTAGTTATGAAATACCGCAGTGTGGCGGTAGCTTAGTGGGCGAGTTACTGCCACTGACACAGAGGACCGGAGAGCTTTAATCGCAAACCCCAACACCGGAAAGTCGCAGCTCATACCAACACAAAGGATTGGTCTCCAAACCTACCGTTACAATACCGAATACCCGACAATTTGTAAAGACTGATGATTGTACGAACGAATAGGTAAACAATGCCGCTTTGCATTTGTTTTGCTTTTTTGAATTGAACATGGTGGATTGCAAAAAAGCCCAAAATAGAAGCGTTTCAAAAATTGTTTTTTTTTTGAAAGGCTACATTTAACTTTTATTTTGCTAAAACTGTTTTTTTAATCAATAATTTAGATTCTTTTTCAGAAAGACAAATTAGCATTAATATTAAGAAAATTTCTTGGGTATTTTTTATTCCACCTAGTTTACCAGCCAATATCTTCGTTGTCTTTAGAGGTAGTCTTCATCTAAAACCGGGTTTTGTCAATATCATGCATTTATCAACAGCAGAAAAGTCTATAGGCTATTCAATCTCGTGTGCAGCTGTTATGGAACCCATTTAAAAAAATTCCATATTTGTCCATTTGAAAATAGCACACTTTTAGCAATCTAAATCCGGTCAATACACGTCGGGCAAAACACAGACCTAATAAACAACTCTACACATATAATCGCTAAATTGACTTTTTTTAATACAACTCTTTATTTGGTGCGAACAGAAAGCTAAGGCAGTATTAATCATATAGAAAATTTTCTGCTCTTTCTATCGGTGCAAAATAAAAATCGAATACGAGATTATTATATTCGATATTACATTTTTATATATTTTATTTTTCAATTTTCATTAATAAAAATTTCATTAGAATAAAATAAAAAATATGTAGATATATGCATAGGTGCTGCAGTTGTCAATCGATAAGTCCGCATTCCACTGCGGTTTTAGTTCACGATTAGAAGCTATGCAGAATTGGAAGTGCAGATTTGAATGCACTACTGATCAGAGAATCATTCTATTACATAGATTAGCTCTTAAAGCTAATTGGAATTGCCATAGATAAATTAAACTTATCCAGTAGTAATTAGAAAATATGAACGATTATATTAAAAGTTAATGATTACAAATTTAATTTTGTAACTTGAAAGTAATAAACTCCTTCATTACAGTAATTATGACATTCTACAAATAACTGTGTCACCATTTTCGGTAATAGTCGCACGTAGAACTAATCAAGCCGGTTACCAATATCAATTCGTTGCAGTAACGACCTAACTTTTATTTTTATTTCAGGCTCGTTACCACTTATGAGTTAGGAGAATCGATTGGTAGTTTCGAAACGTTGGTAAAAGTTATTATTACTCTACAGCTGAAACTTCAGGTATTTGGTGACACCATTAAATGAAACGATCATTGTTATCGATATCGTTGACGAAATATAAATGACATACATTCACGTTTT